CCCGAGAGATCTGCTTCATTCCCCACGCAAAGCTTGCGAAGCAAAAGTCCATTCTCTCGATTTGCAAGCATTTCAAGAGGGGCGAGCCGTTGCTGACGGCTCCAGAGAGATTTCACCCCGACCACCCCGCGACCCCCAAAGACAGCCTTGCCTGCTTGGGGTGGGAGTAAGGAGAAGTGTGTGTGGAGGGGGTGTTGTTGAGGTTTGCAAGTGTGCGTAGGCGCCCTGGCCGATCCCACCGGGACTTTCCAGTTCTGCAAAGACGCCGCGGACTCGCAAAGCAGCAGGAGCAGCTACTCACCGGGTGGATTAACAGCCGCCGGCGTTGCCATCTCGTCTCGGGAAGGATTAAGAGGAGTACAAACTGGGATGGGATGAAGGGGGGGGGACTGATGCTCCGAGCAGCCCGGGCAGACGGAGAGCAGGCAGGCAGGCAGGCCACGAAGCCCGCGGGGTGGGTGGGGGGGGGGGGGGGGGGAAATGCCTTCCCACCTGCACCAACACAAAGGGGGTCTCGCCACGCTAGGCTAAGCTCTTCACGCGCAGCGGGCTCAAGATGTCTGATCTGATGAAGCCCCCCCCCCTTCCCCCCCCCCCCTCCTCTTCTTCTCCTTCTTTCAAATTTCCCCTCTGCTCATGCCCCGCCTCCCCCCGCCCCCCCCCCAGCGAAGTGAGCATGTGCCAAAGGGCTGCACATGGGCAGTGGGCGAGGGAAGCCGGCTGCCCTCACTTTGCCCTGACTGCTGGACTGCGCTCTCCATCCCTTGGAGGGAGGGCGCAGGTAACGGGAGAAGGGGAATCCCAAATATGGCTCGCTCTCCTCTCTCTCTTTCCCTCTCTCTCTCTCTCTCTCACTCTCTCTCTCTCTCACTCACTCTTTCTCTCTCTCTTTCTCACTCTCTTTCTCTGTTTCTCTCTTTTTCTCTCCTCTTTTCTCTCACAGGGTCTCCTGTGAGAGAAAGAGAGAGAAGGGGAATCCCAAATCTCTTTCTCTCTCCCCTCTCTCTCTCCTTTCTCTTTCTCTCTTTCTCACTCTCTTTATCTCTCTCCTCTCTTTCTCTCTCTCTCTCTCTTTCTGTCTCTCTGTCTCTTTCTCACTCTCTTTCTCTCTCTCTCTCTCTCTCCTCTCTTTCTCTCTCTCTCTCTCTTTCTGTCTCTCTCTCTCTCTTTCTCACTCTCTTTCTCTCTCTCCTCTCTCTCCTCTCTCTTTCTGTCTGTCTTTCTCGCTCTCTTTCTCTGTTTCTCTCTGTTTCTCTCTCTCTCTCTTTCTCTTTCTCTCACAGGGTCTCCTGTGAGAGAAAGAGAGAGAAGGGGAATTCCAAATATGGCTCTCTCTCTCTCTCTCTCTCTCTCTCTCTCTTTCTCCTCTCTCTCTTTCTCTCTCTCTTTCTCTGTTTCTCTCTCTCTCTTTCTCTCACAGGGTCTCCTGTGAGAGAAAGAGAGAGAAGGGGAATCCCAAATCTCTCTCTCTCTCTCTCTCTTTTCTCTCTCTCTCTCTCCTCTCTCTCTCCTCTCTTTCTGTCTCTCTCTTTCTTTCTCTCTCTCTTTCTCTCTCTCCTCTCTCTCTCTTCTCTCTTCTTTCTCACTCTTTCTCTTTCTCTCTGTTTCTCTCTCTCTCTCTTTCTCTTTCTCTCATAAGCTCTCCTGTGAGAGAAAGAGAGAGAAGGGGAATCCCAAATATGTTCTTTCTCTCTCTCTCTTTCTCTCCTCTCTCTTTCTTTCTTTCTCTTTCTCTCTCTCCTGTCTCTCTCTCCTCTCTTTCTCTCTCTCTCTTTCTGTCTCTCTTTCTCATTCTCTTTCTCTGTTTCTCTCTGTTTCTCTCTCTCTCTCTTTCTCTCACAGGATCTCCCCAATATGGCTCTCTCTCCTCCCTCTCCCTCCCTCTCTCTCTCTCTCAGAATCTGAAGAGCTGAACAAGCTTCTTGGATGAGAAGCAAAACGTCTTAAAAAAAACAAGCAAGAAAGTTCAGTTGCCTCTTTGAAAACCATGCCCTCGATGACTGAGAATCAACACACAGACCCCTCCAGTGATGAAGCACCTACAACTTCTGAAGGCAAGATGTTCCACTGGTTAATTGTTCTGATTGTTAGGAAGTTTCTCCTTCCTAAAGGAGAACAGGTAGTAAAATTTTTTAGAACCCACCGCTGCATTGCACCATGATTCAGTAAGAGTGAGAAAACCTTGTAGACGTACTGCACTTTCTGCTACTTTCTACCTGCTTCATTAAAAAAACAAACATCCTATAAAACCGACTAGCTTCAAAGTGTTTGCGCCAGTTTTAAAAACAACACTGCTGACAATATACAGTATTTTCCCTTGTTTCTCTATAAATTGACTCAAAGGCTAGCAAAAAACCTCTTAACAGCTCACAGCCAAAAAGGTTCTTTTGTAAGGAAGGTGGAGAATGTTCCTCAGCTCAGTTTAGATAACCTTGAAACTAACAGCAACATAAAATTTTTTTTTTGCCACGGATTGTTTCCTTTTGAGCCACATGCTGATAAGGCAGCCGGCCCTGTCCAGCATGCTGTATCCTCAAACTGAGGATTCTGCAGTTGAGAAATACTGCCAAGCCAATAAAGGAGAATAGAGGTAGTCCTTGACTTACTGTAGTTCATTTAATGACCGTTCAAAGTTACAACGCCAATGGAAAAAAAAAGACTTATGACCGTTTTCCACGCTTACGGCCTTGGTGGCAACCTCTTGCACGCGTGATCAAAATTCAGATGTTTGGCAACTGGTTCATACCTATGACCTTTGTGGTGTCCTGAGGTCATGGCAATTGGGGGGGGTTCAAAATTTTTTACTACCGGTTCTGTGGGTGTGGCTTGGTGGGCATGGCAGGGGAAGGATACTCTAAAATCTCCATTCCCTCCCCACTCCAGGGGAAGGATACTGCAAAATCCCCATTTCCTCCCAATCATCTGGGACTTGGGAGGCAGAGAATAGATGGGGGCGGGGCCAGTCAGAATTTTTACTACCGGTTCTCCGAACTACTCAAAATTTCCGCTATCGGTTCTCCAGAACTGGTCAGAACCTGCTGAAACCCACCTCTGAGTCATGGTGACAAGCAAAGTCGATGGGGAAGTCAGATTCACTTAACAATCATGTTACTCACTTGACAAGTGCAGTGATTCGCTTAACAACTGTGGCAAGAGAGATCACTTTACAAACGTCTCACTTAGCAACATAAACCTGGGGCTCAATGGTGGTCGTAAGTTGAGGACTACCTGTAGTTGTAGCTCCAGGTTGAAATGAGAGGTCCTTGGTGCTCTGTGTGGTTGGTTGTTTTCTTGCAAGATGTTTCATTACCCAACTAGGTAACATCATCAATGCTAGAAGGCAGTGGGGTTTTGCTCTGTTTTCTAACACTGATGATGTTACCTAACTTGGGTAATGAAATATCTGCAAGAAAAAAAAACCAAGCACCAAGGACCCCTCATATTACAAAGCACTCAGTATCTTCTGGGTAATATTTGTAAATATGGAAAATTGTAGAAGCTGCAAACTATGCCTTCTCCCACCAAGATCATGTTTCAGGAAGTTTAATCAAAATGCAGATAACAGTGACAAGCCATCATTTGGAGTATATCAGGGGTGAAATCCAGCAGGTTCTAACCAGTTCTGGCGAACTGGTTGTGGAAATTTTGAGTAAGTTCGGAGAAGCGGCAAATACCACCTCTGGCTGGCCCCAGAGTGGGGTGGGAATGGGGATTTTGCAGTATCCTTCCCCTGCTATGCCCACCAAGCCACACACAGATGCACAGTTATGAGAAGTAGAGTCATGGTGACACAGTGGTTAGAATGTAGTATTGCAGGCTAATTCTGCCCACTGCCAGCAGTTCGATTCTCACCAGCTCTAGGTTGACTCAGCCTTCCATCCTTCCGAGGTGGGTAAAATGAGGACCCAGATTGTTGGGGGCAAGATGCCGACTCTGTAAACTGCTTAGAGAGGGCTGTAAAGCACTGTGAAGCGGTATATAAGTCTGAGGGCTATTGCTATAAAGGCTGAGCATTTTTGTACATATATTAATTGCAGATCTGTATGTGTGTGTACATGCCTGTAGGGACATATACTCAGACACAGATTATAATTATATATAATATGCAGATCAATTATTGTAACCCCTACTCCCAACTATATGATTTAAAATATGCTTATCCACCATTGTTCCATCTAACAGATTTCTAAGTTAATAGTTAATATTATCAACTACAGTGTAATTTAAATATAAATTGACTCCACTGGCTTGCAACATACATTCACTCGGTTTGAATCAGAGGTGGGTTTCAGCAGGTTCTGACCAGTTCTGGCGAACCGGTAGCGGAAATTTTGAGTAGTTCGGAGAACCGGTAGTAAAAATTCTGACTGGCCCCGCCCCCATCTATTCTCTGCCTCCCAAGTCCCAGCTGATTGGGAGGAAATGGGAATTCTGCAGTATCCTTCCCCTGGAGTGGGGTGGGAATGGAGATTTTACAGTATCCTTCTCCTACCACGCCCACCAAGCCACGCCCACCAAGCCATGTCACGCCCACCAAGCCACACCCACAGAACCGGTAGTAAAAAATTTGAAACCCACCACTCGTTTGAATCCCTACTACAGGTTGGACTAGATGACCACCAAGGTCCCTTCCTACTCTGTTACTGTTAAATGTTTCGACTATTTGTCTTTGAAAATACGAGGGATTCATCCCAGTGCATTTTTCTTTTAAACAAGGGCGCACCCCACACTCTCTCATAGGGGCCTCCGGTAGGGATTGTTCTTTTCATTCTTTTGAGACTCCTCCTCAATGCTGAGATGGTATATCATTGCCCACCCAACCCCAACCAGGCTGATAAGAAGCCCCTTTGATTGCCTCTCTTCCAGTCTCCTACCACAAAGGGATTTTCCATTATGAAAGCCAATTGGGCTCCCTGTGGCAGGCTGCAGATTACAGGAAGGCGAGGAGGAGGAGGAGGAGGAAGCAGTCTTAAATCAAGCTCAAGGGTTTTTCCAGTGGGCTCAGGAACCATGTCGGTGGGCGAGGTGCCGAATCAAGGAAAAAGAGACTTCATCCACTGCCTTTCGCAAGGCTGGGAATCTCTTCAAGCCACTGCTGGTGGGTGGCTTGCTTTGCAAACCCCAGAGTCAGCATCTAGGGCAAACAAAGGACTGCAGGCAAGAAGAGATCGAGGCAGGGACAATGGCAGCCCGGTGGTGATTCTCGGGGTACCGCAGATGCTCCCATTGTGCCGTAGGAGAAGGAAAGGAGGAGGGGAGCCTTCTGGCTGGAACAAGCAGGTGTAGCTTCTGAAGCACAGGCAGGGCAGACAAACCAATGCAGCAAGCCATCCCAATCTTGCAGCAGAAACCACTGCCCTGCGATGATTTAGGAACCGGGGGGGAAGCTCAGCTGCTCAGTGGAAGCCAAAAGGACCATTTCCCACCCACTTCCCCAGTCCTCAGACTGGTGTCAGAGACGAGGGAGGAATCTCTCATTGGTCCTCCCTGGGGGGATGGGGGGGAGTTAGGAAGCAGCTGGAGGAATTTCAGAACCGTTAAACCAAGGATGCTCCGAGAGAGACCCGTCCCTCGTGTCGACGCATTGCAAGGGTGGCTGTTTTGGTACTGCTGGAATGAACAAGTTGTGATAGGTTGGTAACTCTTAAGTTTTTCTCTCCCTCTCACCTACCCCTACCCCCTCCGATTGTTTCTTAAGGGAAAGCTGCTTCCCTTGCCTGCCAAGGACCGCTCACCTGCGCGGGGCATTTTTTGAGACAGGCAGACAAACCCCCTCGCCTGCAAAACTGTGTGGCAGGGACAGTTGGGCTGTTCACACAGACTTTTTCGACTTTGGGGAGGAAAGGGAGGGCCGCCCAACTCGAAGGAAACCGTGGTGAGAGGAGACAGAGAAATTCTCTGTTTTATGTAAGGACTGCCTGAGGAATCCAGAGTTCACGTGTTCTACTTGAGGTGCTGGGTTGCAGGAGAATTCTGCTTTAAGGATACTCTCTCTTTCCCTTGTTCCACAAATTCTGTGTGTGTGGGTATGGGGGTGGGGTGTGCTTAGGGATACACTCTCTCTCCCTTGTTCCACAAATTGTGTGGATTTGTGTGTGGATTGCGCACATGTAGGCAGAAGTGAATGTTCAGAAGTGGCTCGGCAAGGTTTGGTTTGAGGGATGAATGGTTGCGATTTGAAGTTTGTAATGGAGCAAAAGATGAGTTCCTTCACGATCAAAGCGGAGAGGAATATTTGCATATCAAATACAGACTTGGCACCGGAACAATTGACCCTCTCCAAGTCTGATTGAGAAATAATTCGCCGGATAGTATTTTTTTTTTGCTCTGGATTTAAGCAATGTTCCTTAGTGCACGGTGGATTTTCACAGAGACGAGAGATTAATTTTAAAAAAAAAAATCTGTTTTGCCAAATCATAATGAACTTTGTTTATGGCCCCGATAGAAATCTTCAATCTGCCAAAGCTCTGAGATTCAGATTCGGTCAAGCTGTGCACCATTTTCAAGTTTACGTTTTTAAAAAGGCTTTAGACTTCAGGGTGCCACCTTTAATTTAATGAGAAAGGGGGGAAAAAATCATGCCAGCCATTGATCTCTCAACATGATGGATGATCCGTATTTGTCGCAACTGCAGGAAATATTACATTTTCTCCTCAGAATATGGAGCAGAACATAATTTCAGGGGTAATTATGCTTTGTATACGAAAGACCGCAGGTTACGCGCTATTTCTCCTCCTCTCCTGCTCCCCTTATCTCTCCGTTTCTTTTTGGAAAGAGGGAATTCTTCAAAAACTTGTTTGAGGCTGTATAGCTCATCTTTCCACCTTTATATAATGGATAGATATATTATTGGATTAAGCAGTGCTTGCTCCAAGTAGCAAGTGTGGATCAATTGAAGGTGACTTGGAAATAATGATATATATGCTGAGGTATTTTTTTAGGGAGGCAAGATTTTTCTCTAGGTTGGAAAAAAAAAACTAGAAAAGTTTGTGCTGACTGCAGGCGAAGTCTTCTTGTGGATGTTACTAACAAAGTTTCAAAGAAGGCCAGGGTAAGGGCTCCTTCAGGTAAATTGTAGTAAGCTTATAACCTACTAGTTAAGTTATGACTGCGACCTATTAGTTAAGCAATTTGATTGGTGGTTGCTGATATTTCCAAATATACAATGTGGTGTGTTTAGAATAGAATAGAATAGAATAGAATAGAATAGAATAGAATAGAATAGAATAGAATAGAATAGAATAGAATAGTTATGTAATTCTTTTAATAATTTAAAATTTTGTATTGGTATGTGTTTTAGTTCTGGCTGTGCACCCCACTGAGTCCACTAGGAGAAGGGCAGTATACAAATTGAAATAAATAAATAAATAAATAAATAGAATAGAATAGAATAGAATAGAATAGAATAGAATAGAATAGAATAGAATAGGAGGAGGAGAAGGGAAGGGAAGGAGAATAGAATAGGATAGGATAGGATAGGATAGGATAGGATAGAATAGAATAGAATAGAATAGAATAGAATAGAATAGAATAGAATAGAATAGAATAGAGGAGGAGAAGGGAAGGGAAGGAGAATAGAATAGGATAGGATAGGATAGGATAGGATAGGATAGAATAGAATAGAATAGAATAGAATAGAATAGAATAGATAGAATAGAATAGAATAGAATAGAATAGAATAGAATAGAATAGAATAACAGAGTTGGAAGGGACCTTGGAGGTCTTCTAGTCCAATCCCTTGCTTAGGCAGGAAACCCTATAGCAGTGATGGTTAACCTTTTTGCCGTCACGTGCCAAAAGTGGAGGGAATGCAGGAGGGGGTCACACCCATAATTCAATGCCCCCCGTGCCGTGCCCCACCAACATGCACATGCGACCCCCCCCCTGCACTCTCCTGCTTTTGGCACGCGATGGCACAGTGGGCCCAGTAGGCCCGTTTTTCACCCTTCCCAGGCTCCAGAGGCTTTCTTGGAGCCTGGGGAGGGCGAAAACAGCCTTTCCCACCCTCCCCAGAGGCCCTCTAGAGGCCGGAAACAGCCCATTTCCCTACTTCTGGTGGGCCCGAAAGGCCCGACAATCAGCTGGCCGGTGCGCGCATGCACATTGGAGCTGAGCTAGGGCAAAGTTTGCGTGCCCACAGATATGGCTCCGTGTGCCACCTGTGGCACTTGTGCCATAAGTTCACCATCACGGCCCTATAGCATTTCAGACAAATGGTTATCCAATCTCTTCTTAAAATCTTCCAGTTTCGTTTTGACTTAGTATGTTTTTATGCCTGTGTGAGATACGGCAACTGTACATCCTTCCTTCCACGTCTTTCCTGTTTTTGTACTAAATATTCAGGAACTTTTTGCTGATTTTAGAAACCTCTGGAGCTTCTTTGAAGCCTTAGAGATGTTTTAGCCATCCTTCAACTGCTGATTAAGGCAAAGAGGCAAACATAGTTATCACCGTGTCCCTTTTTCAATGGTTATATTCATTAGTCTATTTTTTTTTTTAGCATCCATAAAGCATTGGAGAAGCATTATGGGCTGCAAACCAACTCTTCGCCCATGGAGCTGGCGGAAGAGTTTTCCCTAAAGAAGAGCTCAAAGAGACACTTTGTGTGTGTGTGTGAGACGGGCGGCCCCATAAATGTAATTAATAAATAAATAATTAAACCCGACGCCCTTTTCCATTTTCTAAATGAAAACTGTAGCTTTGCTCAGAGGGATCATTCGGGAGGATCAATTATTAATTCCCCTGTAAGAAAAGGAATTAAGGAGAGAGTAGAGAGATGCAATCGCTAATCGTGACCTTCAGAGAGCCCGAGAGATATCTTGGATTTCCTAAATCTAATTCTCTCACGCTGAAATGTTGCACCTGTTCAGTGGTCCGTGGAAAAAAATATATATATGAAGAAATAGAGCTCCGGAAGTCATTATTTTCTTTTCGGAAAAGAAGTCGTAATTGCATTTGCTGGAGGGCCTGAGAAATGCTACCAACAGAGCCCCATTGTTTCTTTGCACAACTTAATAAGGTGGCAAGACAAAAGTACAGGTGTTGTTTTTTTTTTAAATGAAAGATCATTGGTAAGAAAGTTGAGATTTTTATTTTAAATAGTAATCAGGGTATCCTTGGTGATCTCCGACCTTGGTGATTTGCTTGTACCATGTTTCCCCGAAAATAAGACCCTGTCTTATATTTTTTTGAACCCTGAAATAAGCGTTTGCCTGGCCTTATTGCCATGCACTCAAAAGCCTGATTGGGCTTATTATCAGGGAATGTCTTATTTTGGAGGAAACAGGATAGACCCAAAAGTGTTTTTTTCAAAAGCAATACTTAGACTTCTATACCACTTCACGGTGCTTTATAGCCCTCTCTAAGCAGTTTACACTGTCAGCATTTTGCCCCCAACAATCTGGATTTTCATTTTACCTGGGAAGGATCGAGGGCTGAGTCAACCTTGAACTGATCAGGATCGAACTCCTGACAGTCGGCAGAGTTTGCCTGCAATACTGCCTTCTAACCACAGCACCACCATGGCGCCTGAAAAAAAGGCTTGAAAAAGCATCTTTGGGACAATCATGACCTGGATGACTGAGAATCTCCTTAGACCTTTGCTTGCAGACATTTCATTACCCAATTAGGTAACATCATCAGTGCTAATGATGACAAACTGTCAAGCGGAAAAAAATACCCTAATCAAGGAAATACCAAGGGGAAAACAATAATCTTTACAACACTGATGAGGCAAGCTAAATGGAGCAAACCCCATGCTCACTAGCACTGATATTGTTTCCTAGTCTGGTAATGAGATATCTGCAAGCAAAAAATGAAAGTAAAAAAAAACAAACCCACCAAGGACTCTACAGTTTAACTCTGAGCTACATATGTTCTCTTCTATTGCAAATAATAATCCCAGTCAGGTAGGTTCTTTGTTTCCCTTTTCTCCCTAATTTGCAAAGTAGCTTATATTACGAATTAGCATCCCAATGAGATTTCAGAGCAAACACTGAAGTATCAGAAAGAAGCCAAAGGAAATATCTAGTATAAAGAATAATTAGAGTAGAACAGGCAGTCATATAGATCCCTCTGGATTCCTCAATCAATCTGGAGTGACTGATTGGGAGAGCGGGGAATGGACTTTGTGTTTGCGTGGAAAACACACAGTTTAGTGTAACTGCAAGGACAAAGTAATAAACTCCATTCTACCCAGCCCAATTTTAACAGGTTCACAGACAATGAAAAAGCTGAGCTAAGTGGCAGCAGTTAACCAATTGTGGCCGATCTGGAAAAGCTAAGTAGGACTGACCTTATTAATACTTGGATAAGAGAGTACAGGAATCTAGGGCTGTTAAATTGTCAAGCCAAACAACTCTTCCACTACCCTGGACATAGGCAATGGCAATCCATTTCTGCAGTTTGAAGGTTGGGTCAGAAGCCCTATCTAACAAAATGAAATTCAATGTAGAGAAAAGTAAAGTCTTACACTTAGTTAAGGAAAACCAGAAGTACACATATAGACTGGGTGAAACCAGGCTTAATAGCAGTAACCATAAGAGGGATCTTGGAGTCTTAGTAGACAACCAGCTAAATATGAGCCAGCAGTGTGTGGCGGCAGCCAAAAAAGCAATGCAATCCTAAATTGCAT